AATGACCCTACAACTAGAGTCAACAATCTGACCACTAGATATGAGCTGCATGGTAAGTCGAGGAACATGAGCGACAGAGGGAACATGAAATGAAGAAGTGCTAAGAGTGCCTCGGCTAGCTACAGCAAGGGGAGTGCCATCAGCTGTAAGAACACGAACATGAGACTCGACAGGTCGAACGGAGGTTAAAGTGGAAGAATCATAAGTCATATGAAAAGATGCTCCGGTATCAAGAATCCATGGGGATGTACCTGAATGATTAGAAGGTGGTTTCTCAGTGCCAGAAGAGTCAGTCACAGAACCCGCAGAACCAGACGGTGAAGAATCCCAAGCAGCAATCAGGCATTGCAGTTGCGCAATCTCACGCGCAGATAGGGACATGGCAGAAGAGGTCGAGGTAGAAACACCTGTCGACAATGAGCAATCCCACCACCCGTGGAAGCTGCGTGTAGAGTCGACTGAGAGTAACGAGTTGACATAGAGCCGCATGTGGAAGCCACTCGAGGAGTCGATGCAGAGCGGTCACCGAAGCCTGCTGAACACGTCGTAGGGGACAACGTCACAGACGGACGAGCACCAAGCACTGAGCAACGGCGCATGTGTGAGACATGATCAATATAGGGAACACCGTCGGAAGTCTGCGGGCAACAATGAAGATGTTGCCCCGATGGGAACATCATATCAATTTTTTTTACTCTCTCTTTTTTTGGATCACATAACACAAGTCAGCCAATCCACTGGAATGACGTCCCGTGAGGAGCTACAGCATCGATGCCCAAGGCTGCAGGCCAGCACCCAAGGCAGGCCCAAAACAACGGCCCAAGCTGCGACTTCCAGCAAAGCTGCCACGAACAGATCGCAGCAGCTGTAGACTTCGTGCACGCGCAACGCGACGGGCTGGCGTACAGATGGCGGCCGAGGCGGACAACGGTGAAGGTCGGAGGACGCGGGCGTCAGTAGCGCAAAGCGGACGAAGAGCGCCTCGAGCGTTAGACAGGTCGATCCAGGCGGCTGAAACGGGAGCAACCGCGCGCTTGATCCGAGCAGCCGAAACGGGAGTACAACAGCGGTAGGGAGTAACGCGCGTGGGAGGGCGCCGGGAATCGGAGCCGGGGGCGGCACGGCGGCGGGCACAAAGCAATGATGCAGGAAGCAGACGACAGCCAGGTTCGGCAGGGCCAGCGGCGACCTTGGAGGAAGACGAGCGGCGGCGCCCTTGGGGATACGGGCGGACGGCGACTCGACTTGGAGCAGATCGGAAGAAAAAATGCAGCAGCCCCTTGGAGGATACGGGCAGACAGATCTCCAAGCCGATGAGATCGAAGGAAGACCAAGCAAAGAGAAAAAAAATTCGATCTGATTAGCACGAGTTGCAATGGTGCGTGAGGTGGAGACCCTAACTTGGACCTGATACCATGTTACATTAACAACTTGTATTAATTAGGAGGCCAAAGCCAACATATATACATGTACAAGAGGATGCCAAAAGGCTACAAAAGGATGCTAAAAGACTAGAATACAAAAGGCCAAATGCCATTATCAATATAACTCTAAGAGGTGACACCATGCCTTCTCCCCGCCGGACGGCTGTTGGTCTGCACCGCACAGAGAAGAGTGGAGGGCTTTCGATGGAGAATGACGAGGAGGGGTGCGCCTCCCCAACCGCCGATGTCGCAGACGTTGAGGTCGCTGCCCGCGGGGAAAACAGCATGCCCGCCGCCCGTGGGGGAAACCACATGCCCAAGATCCCCGACGCAGCGGACGAGATCGAGGTCCTTTGCGCAGCGAAGCGCAACTTGGAGGAGCTGCAGCTGCAGACCACACATCTCCCGCACACGCCGACACGCTAGGAGGCCGCGCGCAGCAGCCTGCAGCCTCACCGCCACCGACACGTGACAGGTAGCGATCCAAGTCGGAAGCGGTGACGGCGACAGCGGGAACTTGATCTGCTAGATGGGGATGCCCTGGACGGTGGCGGCGCTAATGGGAACGAGGTCGTCGCAGTCCCGTCGTAGGGCATCCCATACTGGTACGAGATGACAGGCGCCGAGGGCGGCGGCGGCGGGGGTAGCCGCTGTTGGTGTGGCGGCGGCGGAGGTGGCTGCTGGGGATGCGGCTGGGGCGCATAGGGCCCGACGAGGAAGGCCCTGATGCCCGCCACGGCTTGCCGTAATTCCAGGATTGCGGCTATCATCTGCTCCGGGGTGAGGACGAGGGCGGACGGCGCCGGGGCAGAGGGTACAATCGCCCCTGAGGACGCCAGCACACCCACTGCCGGCGCGCCTGCTGTGTGGGGCAGCAGCGCCGGCGAAGACGCTGGTGGCGGCGGGTAGGTGTGCGGCGGCGACGGGTGGGAAGAACTCGGTGGAGGGCTGGACATGATCGAACTGGGAAAGATGATACCAAATTGGTATGAACCGGATCCCTACCAGAGCGTGGTGGCAGCGGGTAGGTGCGCCGACGAAGACGCTGGTGGTGGCGGGTAGGTGTGCGGCGGCGGCGGGTGGGAAGAACTCGGTGGAGGGCTGGACATGATCGAACCGGGAAAGATGATACCAAATTGGTATGAACCGGATCCCTACCAGAGCGTGGTCTCAGGTTGTAGGGGTGGAAGGAGGGGTGGCGTGGAGGAAGGCGTGGTCGCCGGCACTGGGGCGCCGTCGTTGCTTGCGCGCGCGAGAGAGAGAGAGCAGGGCGGCGACTAGGGTTAGGTCTCCCGGCTCCCTAAGGAAGCCTAGCAAATATGATTGCTTGTTGCTTGATTAGATTGATACATCTCCTCTCCTTATATAGAGAGGTTTACTTGACTCCCAAGCAAGCGACCCTTATCTCTAATTAACCCTAAGACTAACGGGCGCAGGCCCATTAGGCCATTACGTACTCTAACATTTATCGTTGGCTTTCCTTCCCCTCTCGCAAGGCGACTAAGGCGAAGCTTCCTCACCTCAATATCTGCTGGCGAGCCCGTGGAATCTCCTTCCCTCCGATGGCGGGGAGGGGAATCTTGGTGTCTCGAGTCCGGTTAGTAGATAGGTTAGGGTCTTAATCCTCACAGGGGCGGCACTCGGATGGATGGCGGTGCTTCATCTCCGAGCCAGTCTTCCAGGCTCCGTCTTCCAGGCTCCGATCCTCCTCAAGTTCGTCCGTTAGGATGGATTAGACGGAGCTTGGGAGTAGATTCTTGCCGTCTCCTTGGGGTGGCGTGGTTAGGGTTTCTCGCCTTGCATACGAGACGGTGAGATTTCGTGTCAGGTTCTTCGAATTGATTTAAGGGTTCAATGGCGGCGCCTGCGGCTTTGGGGCGCTGGTCCTTAAGGGCACGTGCACGAAGACTTACCTGCTGTCATTGACAAGGTCAGGCTGGTTCCGGTATGGGAGCGGCGACAGCGGCCCGTCGACAGCTCGTTCTAGCGGCGGTAGTGGTCGTTCGGTGGTCCAAAAACCTTGATGTATTTTTACTATGTTTGGGGTGCTTTGTACGAATCTTTATAATAGATCTGAGCCTTTTCGGAAAAAAAAAGAGTACATGTTTTTTGCCCTTTTGTTTGCGACGACAGGTTTTGCTCTTGTGCCCTGCACCCTACCAGCACCATTGAGTTAATTGCAAGGAATTAAATCCGATCTTAGGGTAACTAATGTACATTTAATCATGTTGCCTATGAGAGATTGCTTATCGTGCTTGCAGTATTGAGAGGCACACGTGGGAAGAGGATTTGTAGCACCTGGGTGCTCCACACCCCTATGTGAACATTAAATTCAAAAAAAATACAAGGAAATTTCAAAAAAAAAACTGAGATTTTGGAATATGAAACCTGGGAACCCAATATACTTTCGTGTGAAATTTCATGAAAAAAATACCAGGAAACGTATCCGTGGCAAAAAAGACAAATAATTATTATGTATAGAAAAAAAACTGTTTGGATGGATTTTATTTCGGACTGTATTTTTGTCGCCACGGATACATTTCCTGGTATTTTTTCTACGAAACTTCATACGGGAGTAGAATGGGCACCTGAGTTTGATAGTTCAAGATTTCATTTTTTGAATTTTTCTTGTATTTTTTGAATTTAATTTCATATAGGGGGGTGGAGCATCCATGTGCTCCTGTGTATTTCCCGGCACATGTGATCCTACCTTGAACCATGTTATGTGAAGTACATCAGCATTTGGCAAGATATCACCCCAGAGATTTATACTTCTGTTATTGGATGCTTATTTTGTGGTTCATATGTTTCTGAATTGAACTTTGTGTTGTTATTTTTCTCTGCATGCATATTGTTTTCAACTCATACTCTCCTTGTGCGTCGTGAATTTTATGAAACTATGCCTATTGGTTTCTGCAGAACTAGACAGGCTATTGGAGAATGCACCCTCCCCGGTAATAGCACAACATGCAGCAAGGATTTCTTCTATCCGCAAGAGAGTGTTAGCGCTAAACATGCTACTGAGGTCCATACAAAGACGTATAGATAATATGGATAGAATGATTTCTACTGGTGTTACAAGTGGTACTATTCACCATACTAACACTATATCTGGTTCTTTATTGCACTACTCGGCTCAGATAAACCTGATGAATTATGATATTCATGTTGTATTATATTTGCAGATCATTCATCTCGTGTGCAGTTGCAAAACCAGAATTAAACTTGGATTGAGGTGCATTACTTTGGTCTATTATCACTTTGGTCTATTATCATTTCTTTTTCCAGAATATATTATCATCCCAGCTGATATACGTATGGGTGCTCATGATAGACCTGAGTAAGCTACACTGCAGAAATATGCCGATGGATTTCGATAGTCTGAATCTACTTCTGTCGATAAAAGCTTTCTTATACTTTTGACAGTAGATCCATGATCATTCAGTCCGGTAGAGTTGTAGCATCTAGCTACTCGGTTTAGTATTATAAATGCAACAGTTTCATATCTGAAACATTACAAGCTTGTTCTAGCTTTAGATTATATAGGGTATATAATGTTACATAAGAAAAATCCTTTTAACTCACAGTTCTATGTTTACTTACTGATAAGTGCTTCCTAACACCAGTGCTATGAACTGCAGGATCTAGAAGGACATTTCCTGTGTTGCCCGTCAATTGCTCACCATTTCTGTCAGCTGAACTGTAATTCAATAGCGATGCAGGCGGCATTTTCACAAGAGGCTGTGTATAATAGTGAAGAGTGGTGATTGCAACTGCCCTCCAAATTCGCATCACTAGGAACACTTCATTCTTTTTCGTTGAAGTGGGATTAGTTCTTCGGTCTGAACAATCTCTTGTCCTTGGTGGCGTGGAAAGTGAAATGCACTTCAGATGTACCAATTGTACTCATGTACCATTTCTCTTGGGGAATCCGTCTCAACATGTACAACACTAGATTGCAAGGGGTAAACAATATTTTTATCTCATGTTGTGCAAATTTGGAATAACTGTGTTGAGAATATTGAAGATAGCAACCGCTTGAATTCATGAATTATGTTGGCTGGTAGGAAGAAACCGTGAATATTCTGAAGAAGCTTTTGGACCGGGACCATTCCCAAATTGTATGTGCCTCTTGGTCTAAACAATGAAGCCAATCAGCATACTGCCATATTCTTGAACATGTTGGTTTCTTCCATGATCCAGTTCTGAAGAAAAATCATGCAACTATGATGAGAGTAAATGAACAGACACCTGAAGAACAATGGTCGAAGCAATTAGCTTGCTCTCTTGAAAAAGTTTACATGCAAAATAATGGTACAGTGAGACTTACTACCAAACTTCCCCAAGATAACAATGGAAAAGAAAAGAACTAAAAAATGAACAGATGTGTGGTGAACCTATGTCGGAGGTTGTGAACCAAAGCTGTACATGGCCCCTATCTAGTTTTCTGTCTAATTTTACACCCAATATTACAACAACATCACCAAAGAAATTCTTGGTATCAAGATTTCTCGCTGCCAATGAAACACCTCGGACCTTCCCTTCATGATTGCCTACCGGAAAGCATCCCCCAGGTGAATACAGGAAGAACCTGCATTCATGGATGGATTTCAAGGAGATGAGCATACATAAGAAGGTTCCATTCATGCTAAATAACTGCTGCACCATTTTACCTGTGATGTTCACCTCACAGGCGCATGTAACCTTCCCTGTGGCCTTTGAAGAGTTTCAGGTGCCTCTTGTTCTGGGAGCCACTCCTGGTCAGCTCACGCCGGGTTCGCCATGCCGACACATGAGAATACAGTGAAGGGAACAGAAAGCAAAGCAGAAGGAGCAGCAAGATCACGGCACATATCAGCATCACGTTGGCGAAACCGTCCAGATTTGCGGGGTTCTTGTTCTGCTCGGTCCATGGCACACCACCGACATTCATTCCAAAAACTGCGTAAAATAGCAGGGAAGGGTATATCCAGGTGATCACCCATGAACGGGAAACAACCTTATGATGGGGAAGCCCACTATGATGACCAACATGGAGAACTTACCTCCGGTTACAATGGAGAGAGGGAGGAAAACTATGGAGAGGAATGAAAGATAGTATAGGCTCTTGTTGATCTGTTCTGACTGCCAGCTGTCGAGGCTGGCCTGCAGCGTAGTCACTCTGTTTGTTATAAATCCAAGGTTTTCCTTGAGCCTCCTAAGGCGGCCGATCAAATCTTCGAGGGCGGCAATATCCTCAGTTGCGAACCAACTCTTGCTCGCGCATCTTTCCTTCACACGGGGGAAGACTTGTTCGCCGTGAGAAACCACCTGGAGGAACAGCATATTAGCATCAGGTCTCCAACTTTTATTTGGTATCATGGTATGGTAGGTCAGGAAACAGCAGATGATATTGATCTTGGGGTCACATGGACACTCAGTTAAATACATCACTGAAGTACATCCCACTCAAATCCCCAGTATATCTCTTCAGAAATTTGGGAGAGGGTTCAACAAATACCTGAAGTAGGCGCTGTAAATCAAGGTGCATTTTGGGGAATCTCCTACCATCCAACAGAAGTTTCCTCATGAAGTGACCACCTGCAATCAACATACATAAGCATACCATGAAAAATCTCAAGAGACGATTTGCCAGGTGCTAGGTGAATACATTTGCCATCTGATACCTTGTAGATATATGCATAATCAAACTAGACTATTACTACATAAACTAAAGTAATTCGATTATATGATATCACCTTACAAACAAATTTGAGTACAACTTTATCAGTAGTAATGAAGACTTGCTTTATATTGCATTCCATTGACATTAACCTGTCTAGAACCCAAGATATTGATGAACAAAATCCCCCCAATAACTCGCAGATGGGGCAGAAAAGATCATGTTGGGCCGCCACTGCATTCATCGCATTTCAGAAAATAAGGTTGCTTGACAATTCACATTCTACCATCCATAAGCAAAACCTGTTAAGTTCTTAGCTTCCTCTTTTATCTTTATTCCAGCATTAGGGCATCTTCAATCTATCAGGGAATGACCTCTAGATGGAAAAACACCATTTGAGAATCAGCTTAAGCACAAATGTGGAACCAAAACTGTGTTGCAAATCGAACAATCCACAGTTAACCCAAGAACATCAGCAAGCTCGTGTTGACCTTCCAGAAGTTCTCCCAGTTCGCCATTCCAATGCACATCAACAATGGCAACAAATTTGGTACCCAACCCCCATTTCCTTACCACCAAATTAAGCTTCCTGTTCAATTAATATTCTATGATGATGATTAATGCAACTCATGTTGTTCATACAACAAGAATTTGTCATCACCAACCACAAAGGCATAGACATGAAGTTAGTATCAACTCCTAAAAGATTGCCTTTTTTTTTGCAGTCTCTTAAAAAGATGACTAGTAGAAAAAGCACCGTACCACATAAATTATTGTATGCTTTGAGATTACCAGCCAAGAAAGCAACCTCCGTCACCCACCTTTGTCGATGTGCAGCTCGATGTTGTCGATCTCCATCTCGAGGCGCGTGACAATGTCGTGGACGTGGTCGACGTGCGTGCCGAGGACGTGCACGAGGAGGTTGGACACCGTCCGTGGCACTGGGTTGTCGGTGTGGGCTCCGTCCGCGTGGTTCATGGCGAGCAGCGACTCGAGCAGGCGCTCGTCGATGACGACGCCGCCCTCGACGGCGCGGCCGCCGCCGTGCCCCTCTTCGGCGAGCGAGGCGGCCACCCCGAGGGGCACCTCCGAGAGGAGCGACGCCTGCGTGGTCCCGAACGCGAGCCGCGGGACGGCGCCGACGGACACGGTGACTACGGAGCTCTCGGTGACGCGCGCGGCGAGGCGGATTGCGAAGGCGCTGCCGAGCGGGCCGGGCGCGCTGACGCGGAGCACGAGCGCGCCGCCGCCGCCGTCGGCGACGCCGCCGCAGTGCGGGCCGTTCCCGACGAGCGCGAGGATCTCCTGGAGTGTGAGCGGCGGGCACAGGAGCTCGATCAGCGCCTGCGCGTGGTGGAGCGGCTTCGCGGCCGCGCCACCGGTGAGCAACCGCGGGAGCTCGACGTGATGCCACGTGAACGCCCCCGGTGCGGAGGAAGGCGACGTCTCCGGCGACGTAGGCAGGTCCCACGGCGCGTCCATATACCGCCCATCGCCGTCGAACTCCAGCGCGTGCCGCGGCACTGCGCCGGACGCGAGCGGCTTGCCGACCACCGGGGACGGCGACGGTGGAGGCGGCCCACCCCGCGGCTGCAGCATGTTACACCCCACCGCCTCCACGAGCGGCGAGGCCTCTCCGTTTCCGGCCGCGGCCGCTATTGGCATTGGCATTCGCGTGAGCGCCGGGGAACAACAGCAGCGGGAACGGACCGGGCGGGAGGCGCGGCTGACCCGGCGGGGACTATATCATAGTTTCTCAGCTGTATCGAGGTCCTAGTCGTAAATTACGAACCAGGGGACGTGGAACGCAGGGTCCTTCCTGTAAAAGACCATGGCCGTCCGGCGGGGGTTGTTAAGCTTAATCGGGGAGGTTGTTACCCGCCCGCAGTATGATATTAACAGCAATAATGAAGCTGGTAATCTTGGCATGAGGTTGACTATTTTTGGAATCTCTCTCTCTCTCTCTCTGTTCCGTGCGCCGGTGATGCATCATGGAACATGGATCACGATCTGCAGGTGTTATAATGGAATTTTAAAATTTGATGATCATTAGTCGCACGTCTAGGAGGGACCGGGCTTGCCGAGGTCAGACTATCTGTATCCAGACGAGCATCCCCACTCCTATTTGACCGCTGAATACATAAACCAAAAGACTGGAGTATCTGTATCCAGACGAGCATCCCCACTCTTCATTTTTCTACAGATTTGAAATCTATACCAAAGTTTGTTACTTTGTTTGATTATATATAATACATATACTACAAGGAAACATAGAATTCGTCCTAACATGACCGAGTCAATTTTCGCAAAAAAAAAACATGACCAAGTCAAGATAAAATTTCTCTTGAAATGCATGGTACTACAAAAGAATTATTAGAAAAATTCATACCAGATTAAATACCATACATTTCAAGAGATGCGACAATCGCACCATATTTTGACTTTCAATGAAATCTTAGACTTCCAAATTTTCTTGTTATTTTCCATCGGAACCTCTGAATGCATGAGCGCATGGTACGTTCTGTAAAGGACCCAGATATAGTGAGGTTCCACTAAAACACATCCCGTCCTTATGTCAGGTTAATAGAATCCAAACGAGATAGAAGATTTTGCCATGACATAAGATGGGGACCAATCAAATCTTGCCTGAAAGAAATATCTGGCGGGAATAAACTGAGCACCCGCGCTAGAGTATCATTCATATCGAAAATGTGGTACAAGGCAAGATATTGTTCTCGGAGGCTGGCATTGCCTAGCCAAATGTCCTCCGAGAAACGAACTTCTGACCTGTCTTTGATCGCGAAGGATCCAAAGTGGAAAAGATGTTTCTTTGTGGCCATTAGACCAGCCCAAAAGTGCGAGTCACCATGTTTCCAATAGGCCTGAGACACAACCTTTCAGCCTAGGTACTTGTTGCGCAGGAGGGTCCTCAGTAAGTAGTTTGAACAACCATTTACTAAGTAAGACACCATTCTTCACCTGTAGGTCATGAATGCCAAGGCCACCTTGGTCTTTTGGCCTACAAACCACACTCCATTTGAGCAGCTTGCACTTTTTTTCACTGTCTCTTTGCCAAAAGAACCTGGATCTAAAATAATCCAACCTTTGCAAGATCCCTTTAGGGAGTTAGTAAAAGAAAAGCATATAGATAACCATATTTGTGAGTACAAAACTGATCAAGACCAACCGTCCTCCAATAGAGCAACTTGCCTTTCCAACTGGTCAATTGTTTCTCTAAGCGTTCCTCAACATGTTTCCACTCCACATTAGAGAGATGCCGATAATCTATCGAAATTCTCAAATATTTAATCGGGAATTTGCCTTGTGCACAACCAAACATGCCAGCATAATTAGCCGCCTCCTCACCGGCTTCTCCCAAGTAGAGCAACTCACTTTTATGGAAATTAATTTTGAGGTCTGACATTTGCTCAAACGCTGGAAGAAAAAATTCAGGTTTCGAGCCATATGCAGATCATGTTCCATAAAAGAATTGTATCATCAGCATATTGGAGAATATAGAGTCCACCATCCACAAGGTGTGGTACTACACCTGCAATCTGACCGTCTTGCTTGGCACGATCAGTCAAGATAATCAGCATGCCAGCAACAATGTTAAATAACATTGGAGACATGGGGTCACCGTGACGTAGTCCTTTTTTTTGTTTGAAAGTAATGACCTATGTCATCATTGACTTTGACAACCACACTACCTCTAGTGACAAAATTTTGGATCCACTGGCGCCATTTATCGGAGAATCCTTTCATTCTCAGGGCCTGTTTAAGGAAAGACCACTTAACCTTGTCACAGGCCTTTGCAAAGTCAATCTTGAAAACTACCCCACTCATGTTTTTTGGTGCATCTCATGGACGGTCTCTGGTCTCATGTAGGATTACTACTCCGTCGAGTATATTTCAGCCTTGCATGAAAGCTGTTTGAGATGGCCAAAGAACATGGTCAGCAACCGTGTTGAGCCTATTAGTAGCCACTTTGGTGAAAATTTGAAGCTGGCATTAAGGAGGCATATGGGCCTATATTGCTGGATCCACTCAACCTCCTTAATTTTCGGCAACAAAACGATCTCACCAAAGTTAAGCCTGAATAGGTCAAGTTGGCCGTCATGAAGGGAATTGAAAAATTCCAAAAGGTCAATCTTGATGACCTTCCAAAAATTCTGATTGAATTCTATGGGGAAGCCATCCGGATATGGAGATTTGTTATGTTCCATTTGGAACATCACAGCTCTCACCTCCTCTTCTGATATGGAATTCCATGTTTTCGTTGGCTTCACCCATGGAGTCGATCTCATGGACAACTCTGCGTCTGGTGGAGACACCCTTCTCTACTCCGAGGCGAGTCATCGGTCAGGGATACCTAGTCGATGTGCCCGTTGTACGACGGTAGACTTGGGGGCTGCTTTGATGATGAGCCAGCACTAGACGGTCACGAGTCGCCCCGCTAGACCACCATCTACATGGCGGGCACTGCACCGGCCCTCAATTCTACTGCGGCTGACACCATGGGAAAAACCGACGCTTCAGCAGCCAATCCAAGTGCGTCTAGCCCTGTTAAAATGCAGGCTCAAGTCCTTTCAGAGCTAGTCGCCTCGTTGACGATGCTCCTTGAGTCGCTGTTACTGGTGGAGAATCAGGTGGAACGCAATGCGGAGGTAGCTAAAATCCGCGAGCAGATGGCTAAGGCTCAGGAGGATGTCAACGCCGAGAACGCTCACATGGTGCAGCTGCGAGCCCAAATTCAATGCGAAGAAGAGGGCTTGAGGATGGAGGCTTGGCACATGGGTCTCTGACAGAACGCTTCAGATATGGTTCATAGGAGGAGGCACGAGAGCCGCTTGCCCATTGGTTACGAGCCTAGACATCTATTCAACACACCTACACCGGGGGCTGGGACGAGTAACCTGGGGGCTCCGGTCATACCCAATTTGAACAGGGTCGTGCCTCAGGATGGAGATGGACGACCACCTCTGGCCCAGCCCCGTCAGCCGGTTCAGCAGCACTGGCTCGAGCCGGCAGCCCAACACCTGTTGCATGTTTACACAACGCAGGATCGTTTTGTGACACCAGCGGGTCAATTCTCCAATCCTGTCGATAACCTGTTGGCAGCAGCTACCAACCTCGCCGCACTTCCGATCACAGGGAATACCCAAGTTGAGAGGGAAGCCTTGCACACCATCGAGATGTTGAAGACTGCGGTTGCCCAGCAAGCAAACTACTCCTATAGCCAACAGCGACTCCACTCCACCCCGCATCCAAGCCGCAAGACGAGCCTCCATGCTGAGTCGCCTGCGGTTTCCAGCAGTGCCTAGAGGAGACGCGAGCAGCTACGTGATTCGCCTCGGCATGGAGCCCTAGACGCTCAGGAGATCATCGACACGGCCCATGCGCAACGGGAGGCAGAAACAGCCAACGCGACGGATCACCCATCACCCACTTCAACTCCTTTGGCCTCATAGGGAGTAGGATCAAGTACCAGAACCATTGGGATTCCATGCCTGCTGTCGGCTCTTCGGAACGAGCGCATGCCTAAGGATTTGAAAGGCCCTCGTAAGGTCCCAAATTACACGACTGACCTCGAGCCGGCGGCTTGGATTGAAAGTTACAAATTTTCCATGGACATGCTTGATGTTAGCCATGCAGTCTGTGCTAAGTATTTGACTATGATGCTTGAAGGTCTGGCTCATACTTGGTTGAAAAACTTGCCCCCTAATTCCATTAACACTTGGTCGAAGCTGAAGGAGCATTTCATCAAACACTTCTAAGGAACCTACAAGCGCCCAATGACAATTGTTGATTTACAGCATTGTGTCCAGCGCGAGGGCGAGTTAGCTCATCATTGGGCCCGCCAGGTCGCGGATATAATCCACTCCTCTGATGGCATATTAGCCGCCCAGGCTGTCTTAATTTTGGAGAAAAACTATCATTTTGATCCTTTGGTTTAGAAGCTTGGACGCCTCAAGTGG